TTAATTAGTGATGGTCTGTGATTTGGAACACAGTAGACAAGCAGTTTAGGAATCAGTTCAAGAGAACTCAGGATGAGAAATTGATTCTCAAGCTGTTTGTCTGAGAATATGACAGCACTATGCAGTACTGCTATAGGAAAAGGTGAACTTCAGCAGTTAAGGTGAAGAATGAGCTAAGCTCAGAAATATGTGCTAAATAGGTCCATTGATGTGGCATTGGGCACAGATGGTTTAAACTTTGTCCCCTGTGAAAGCCGCTGTCAGTCAACAAATGCATAATTCTGGGACATCACTGATACTACAAATTGCATAGGACTTCTGGGATCAGTGATACCACAACATGTTTCATTCTGGATTGTCTTAATAGAACGCAGAAGTACTGGATGATTTCACAAAGTATATGGGGAGGAGAGAGGGCACTTAAAAAGTTAAAAACACGTTATCCTAATATCTCTTCTTGGGAACTTTAAACAAACATTTTCTAGGCTTAATTCAGTTTTAATTTTAGTTCGCAGTTCTTTAAAGTTCAATTGGTTTCCATAGCAAACCCCTTTACTAAGGAGGTATAGACCTTGGCCATTTTAATTTACATCAGAGTGAAAGTTCAACAGAATTTGTATGCTATTTGAATTTTAATTATCTTATGTGTTACAAATCCAAAGTATTTTGAGAAGTTTTATATATTTTTGCAAAAAAGTTCATAACATGGAGTTCTGCAAGTTCTTTCAAGGAGGAAAATACTTAAAATTAACAAAATTCTACTAATCGTAGTATACATAATGTGAAAACCATGTAAAAAGCTCATGGATTCAGAACTAAATATTCAGGATTGTTAATGGTTTGGTTCAAAAAATTAAAATCCATCCTCCCATTGGATTTAGTACTCGATAGACTAATTCTAATACTTAAGTGCTCCCATCAATCTATGTGGTTGAAAAGCACTTGCACCTAAAATAAATCTTAGGAAAACATTGCTATTATAACCGAAACCTCTATGAATTATAGTATTAGCATAAACTTCATTTTTTTTTTATAATGAAGTAGCAGCAGAAATGTGGTAGGCACTGTAACCGCACACACAATAGTCCCCATCCTGAAATCCTTATATTCTAACTACACAGTAAAGATGGACTAGACATTTTACTGAAAAAGGGGCTTTGATCGCTGATTGGGCCTGTATGCCACAATATAAATATTTAGTAATACAAGCAAAACTGAAGTGATATTTAAAACCACTCCCTTCTGTGACTGAGTCACCTTATTATCTCCAGCCTCCAGCAAGAGGAAGGTTTGTTTGTGCTTGACTGGATGTCGGCTTCCTGATACTCCCAGTCTGTTAGCTACCCAAACAATCTCCTCAGGGCTCTGCCAGTCCTAACTTTCATGGATTCCAAGGCCAGAGGGACCATTGTGATCATCTAGCCCAGTGGTTCTCACACTTTTTTACTGGTGACCCCTTTCACATAGCAAGCCTCTGAGTGCGACCCCCCCTTATAAATTAAAAACACTTTTTTATATATTTAACACCATTATAAATGCTGGCAAAGGAGGGTTGGGGTGGAATTTGACACCTTGTGACCCCCCCATGTAATAACCTTGTGACCCCTTGAGGGGTCCCGACCCCCAGTTTGAGAACCTCTGATCTAGCCTGATCTCTTGTATAACACAGGCCATAGAACTTCCCCCAAAATAATTCCCTGAGATCTTTCAGAAATGCATCCAATCTTGATTATAAAAAATATTAATGATGGAAAATCCACCAAAATCCTGGGTAAATTGTTCTCATGGTCAATTAACCTGTCAAAAATTTACAGTTTATTTCCAGTTTAAATTAATCTGCTACAACTTCCCGCCATTGCATTGTTATACCTTTATCTCCTAGATTGAAGAGCTGATTATTAAATATTTGTTGTCCATGTAGATACTTCTAATCAAATCACCTCTTAACCTTCTCTTTGTTAAGCTACATAGACTGAGCTTCTTCACTGTAAGGCATGTTTTCTAATCCTTTAATTATTCTTGTGACTGTTCTCTGAACCCTCTCCAATTTATCAATATCCTTTTTGAATTGCGGGCATAAGAACTGGACACAGTATTCCACCGGTGATCACATCAGTGCTAAATACAGAGGTAAAATAACCTAACTCCTACTCAAGATTCACCTTTATTGCTTCCAGGATCACATTAGCTCTTTTGGCCACAGCATGACATTGGAAGCTCATATTCAGCTGATTATTTACCACAACTCCCAAATCTTTTTCAGCATCACTGCTTCCCAGGATAGAGTCCCCATTCTGTAAGTATGGCCTACTTTCTTTGTTCCTAGATGTATACATTTAACCATATTGTTTACTTCCACCCAGTTTACCAACTCAAGCCAGGTTTCTCTGAATCAGTGACCTGTCCTCTTCATTATTTACCTCTTTCCCCAATTTTTGTGTCATCTGCAAACTTTATCTGTGATATTTTTATGTTTTGCCTTCACCTTGCAGGTTAACAGTAGGTATACCACAGCCCTTGCACTCCTTTGAAAGCATCCCCCTGTAGTATCCAGCACCAATCACTAGACACACTCAGAAATTACGCACACCTTGACTGGTACAACTCAGGATCAAGTCCTTTATAGCATCTTAGCACTGATATATATTTATGGTACAAACAATCAAGTTTATTATCAAAGACAAAGATTTAAGAGATACTGAGTTAAGGAAAATGATGGAAACAAATAGTTATATATAAAACAAAGAGTATAACACACTTCTTAGAGTGCAAACTTTAACAGGCTAAAATCCTTGTCTAAAGTAATTTCTCATGTAAGGCAATCTCCAAGCTTCACTAACCAACATGCCTGGGATCCACTTTTCAGTGATGGATAACAAAACATCCTTTTGCTTTTCCTTGTATTTCCTAAAACTCATTGTTTTGTCCCCAAAGTCAGGATGACCCCCATGGTTCCTGTCCTGGTGTTCTTGCTCCAAGTTATCTTCACATACTCATATGCAAAATGGGCTCCCATTATGTCCGCTTACAGTGCTTAATTGACACATGAACCTATGCAGACAGGTACATACCTTTGGCAAAACTTTTGTCAACCCTGCCTGGGACGCAGACTCTAAAATATATTTTCAGTACATATACACAACTCCTTAACTATCATCAGTATAAACATCACACAACAATTGAGGATCAGTGTGATGCTGGCTTTCATTTAAGATCTCACATAACATTATAGATAGCATACAGCTTTCACAGTATTTATGTCAGGTGCTGTTATAGAACAATGAACCCTTTCCAAGCTGGTACCCATGGGTCTTTATGTCACACCCTCCCACTTCCCATATATCCTAGTGCCCCAATCTGCTTGTTCCCCTATTCTGCTCACTCTTCTGCTTCAGTACACTGAACCCTTCTTGCCACTGGAGTGGTGATAGACAGGAAAATCACACAGCAGGCCTTGAACTGTGACTGACTATGGCCAGCTGCTGAACTCTCTCTCCTCCCCCTGCCCGGCTACCATCTTGCTGCAGCCTTCCTTAGTTGTGTCCATGGCACTGGTAATCAGAATGAGTGATGCCAAATTCAAGCTGCAATCAGGTGATAAAGAAAACCAAACAACCAGTGATGCTGCAGCATTATTCTTCCGGGAGTTAACACCTTTGTAGTTAATTGCTGGTAACTGGACCCTTAAGGCCTCACATCTTTCCCCCCAAGGCCCTGCCCTGTTGCTCCTTTTCCCCCTGCTCCCCCCTCCCCCCATTGTCTCAGGGAGCCAACCTGCCTGCAGGTATGAGGCAGTCCCAGCTGAGTAGAGGCTGGCACGGGTTAATGACACCATACCTCCCCCTGCCCTGTGGTAACTGGACTTTTGGTTCCGGTGCCATTTAGGGTTCCCAGCTCCCCTTTTTGACCAGATTTTCCAGTTGAAAACTCAGCACCCGGCAACCCTAAATGGCACCAGGACATACAAGCCAAAAACCAGATGGGTGCCAACCCTATTCTTCCCACATGCCAGGGGAACCAGAGCCCTAAACCATGGTAACAGCCAGGAAAGGAGCCCCCCGAATGGCGGTCTGGGCCTCTCTGCTGTTGCTGCCTGGGGAAGACCCAAACTGCTCGTGGCGGATGGGGATGGGCTGAATTACCGCTGCTCTGAGAGCCGGGAGGGGAGGAGTATGAACAGCAGCAGCCACCACCCAGTGACAGGGCCCGCTTGCTGCTGAAGAAGAGGTGCCGGCTATTTAGCAACCACTTCTGCAGCTGCTCTTTGCTAAATTACCAGGCAAGAGCAGCAGGAGCGCACCCTTCAGCCCACCAGGAGAAAGAGCAGCTGGCTCCGCTTCAGCGGAGGAACCCCGCCCCGGGGGGCAGCCTCTCCAGTCCAAGCCTGGAGGAGCAGAGCCCAGCTGCAGGGAGCTGAGCCCAGACCACAGCCAGCACCCCTTTGCCAGCGGGAACCTGACCTAGACCGGGGGGGGGGCAGAGTTTGGGATGCGGAGGAGCTAGCAGGGAATACAGCCATTCCTCCTGCCACGCCGAGCCCTGGGCCGGAGGAGAGGGGACCCTAGGCGCTGTCACACGACACGGGCCTCTTTCGCCAGGGTTAAACCTGCTGCCTTTCCGGGCCAGTCCCGCCTCCCAGGCCAGCCCTGTGGCGGGGGATAGACCCTGCAGCGGACGGACGGGTTCCAGGAGCTGGAGGCGCTGCTGGCTGGGGTCCCGCGGCCGGGCCGGGCGCCAGTGGGGACCGCGAGCTCCCGCAGCCCCTCGGAGGCTCGTTCCGTTGCCGGGGAGGGGCAAGAGCGGGCTGAGCGCCTCCTCGCTCCCAGTCCTCCCGCGCTAGGGGGCGCGAGGGAGGATCCTCACCGAAGGGGCGTTCGCCTCGCTCCCTAGCTAGCAACCAACGAGCGGCGGCGACGGGTGCCGACCGCGTCAGCTTCCCTTCGTCACGTGGGGCTGGCGGTTACTGGAACAAGGGGAGTGACGTCACTCCTCCCCCATTGGTCCCATCAGCCTCTGCGCGCGCCGCGGGACTGCAGGCGGGTTTGTTGCTCAGCTCCCACAGTCCCCTGGTGGCGGAGCGGGCAGCATCATGGCGGCGGCCCTAGACCCGGCCCGTCCGCGGTGAGTCTCCCCCTTACCCCGCTTCGCGGCCCCGGCCGGAGCCGCCGCGGCCACCTCTAACCGCGCGCTGCTGTGTTGTTCTCTCCAGGTTCCCGGACAGTGACGTCGAGCAGGACCCCGGGGCGGCGGCGCAGGTGAGAGGCCGGGCGCGGTGATGGGCGGGAGAGCGAGCGACAGGGGCCCGCGGGGCGGGGTAGCGGCCTGGGCATCTCCCTCGGTGCGTTAGCAGGGCCCAGCCCGTGTCCTCAGCCGGAGGAGCCGCCTGTCGGATTGTCCCGAGCTGGGGCCTCGGCCGGTCGCTCGGACACGTGTGTCTGCAGGTGTGGGCATGCCTGGTGCAGCTCAGGCTTGTCTACACTACTGCTCGGGGTCGATCTAAGAGATGCAACAGCAGCTATGTGAATAGCGTAGCTGAAGTCGACGTACGTAGATCTACTTACTGCGGTAAGTCGACTGTTGACGCTCTCCCGTCGACTCCGCTTGCGCTTCTCGTTCTGGAGGAGTTGACGGGAGAGTGCTCAGCGATAAATCGACCCCTGCTGGATTGATTGCTGCCCACCAGTCCAGCGGGTAGTGTAGACAAGCCCTCAGTAGTTAAGGTTACATGGAGTTTCTCTAAACGCACGTTAACATTGGCGTAAGGTTAGCTTTTGTTTCAGCTCCTGTGGGAGCACCCCTGAACACTTTAGGAGCTAACAAACTGAGCCTCAAAGCCTCTGCAAGTGTAACGCTGACAGACCTCGGTCATCAGCGGGCAGGATCGAACCTGGGATTTCTGAAGCTTAGTGCATGAGCTAACTGGCTGTTAGCTAAGGCTGTAGAGCAGACTCATTTTATCTCTCTCTCTAAGGGTATGTCTACACTACCGCGGTAGTTCGACGGCTGGCAATCGAACTTCCGGGTTCGATTTATCGCGTCTGGTCTGGACGCGATAATTCGAACCAGGAAGTGCTCGCCGTCGACTGCGGTACTCCACCTCAGCGAGAGGAGTACCGCGGAGTCGACGGGGGAGCCTGCCTGCCGCGTGTGGACCGCGGTAAATTCGAACTAAGGTATGTCGACTTCAGCTACGTTATTCACGTAGCTGAAGTTGCGTACCTTAGATCGAATTGGGGTGTTAGTGTAGACCAGGCCTAAGTGTTCTCATTGCCACTAGATGGGACACAACACCACACCCAGAAGGTGTGTGGGTTACACAAGGTAGAAAAGTGTCATAGAGCTGGGGAAATGGAGGCACAGAGTGCTGAAGTGACTCTCCAGCAGCCTGGCTGAGTTGGTGTTAGGGTTGGAATAAGAAGCCAGATTTTTTTTACTGCATTTTCTCTCTACTACTAGACCATAATGTCTCTCCATAGGACTGTTCGTTATTATGGAGGCTGCCTCAAGTAGCTATTTTCAGCATTAGCATTTTTATAAAGTGATAACTATGTATGCTAGGTGCATTACAGGCAACGATAAAAACAGGATCCCAACTCTGAGTAAATTACAGTTTAAATGACATACAGATGAAGCATCTTTTGCAAGGAAAGATGCAGAGTGACTGAGCAGTGAAGTTTTATGCATGACTTTAATAGTTTTTGTTTCCTCTTAGTCTACACCATAACGGTTTCTTTTAAAGGAGATACTTGGGTTAGGTTATCTTGGAAGAAATGATTTTTGAAGAGAGGGTAGAACCATATCAGGTAGCAAAGGAATAGATTTCAGGTATAGTACTCTTGGGGGAATTCTGTGCCACTGCGCAATGCAGAATTTTGCAGAAATTAATGGTTTTTGCGCAGAATTTCCTTTCCCCCACAGAAATGGGCTGCAGTGCTGCTTGCCACCACTAGGGCCACTGGACCCATCAGAGCCTAGCTTGTGATAGAAGACACTGCCCTGGGGTAGGCGGGGAGGGGCTAGAAAGTTCCTGGTAGCTGCAGGAGAGGTTGGCGCACAGGAAACTCCACACGAGCCCGGGACCCAGCATTAGGCTGTTTCTCCCTCTGGATCCCTGGATTTCTGAGGGGTAGGGGGTTGGGTGTCGGGGCTGGCGGGGGGGCACGGCTGGGCTCTGGGAGGGGAAGGGTGTGTGTGTCTGGGCTAGGGAGCCCCTGTGGGCTCTGGGGTGGAGGGGTTGTGGGTGCTTGGCCCCCGGCTGGGCTTTGGCGGGGAGGGGGCAGAGAAAAAGGAACTGAGCTGTCATAGGGGTGTCTTTAACTCTCTACTCCTGGGGGAATTTTTGTGTCTGTATTGTTACAGACATACTTGCTGAAGGTATTTTGAAATAAATTACCAAACTACATAATCATGCCAGTTTCAAGTAGTCTTATTTTAACAAATAAAATTTGCAGAATTTTAAAATATTGTGTGCAGAATTTTTATTTTTTTGCACAGAATTCCCCCAGGAGTAGTATAGGGAGCAAAAGAGAGGATAAAAAACAAGTACTTAGGATACTAATATGAAATTGTACAATAATTTGAGGGCGAGGATGAAGGTTTTCAAGTGGGTGTCGAGGTAAGGAAATATGACTGAAGGATTTGGGGAGGGGCTAGGTGTGATTGGAATTGTGGGCCAAGATAAATGATGCTCTTGCAATCATTTCAATGATAGGGACAAGTTTGGAGGTTTGGGGCCCATGCAGAGATCTTAATAGTAAGAATGGAGTGGAAAAGATGAATTTTGGAGATGGTTTCCATTTTATTTTAAAAGATGATGCATGGAAATATCACAAAATAACCACAGACACATCTGCAGCCTTTTCTGTGTGTGAGCCCAAGCTTTAAGTGTTTGTTACAGGTGAGTGTAATTATTAAGACTCATTTTGTTTAAAAGAAATGATGAGTAGAATCTGATCTGATATTACACAGATGCTTTAGGTCAGGTTTCATTAATGTAGGACTAGAAGAGGCTATCTTACCTAAGCAGGTCCTTGTTAAAAGCCACTGCATTTCTTTTCTAGCTACACTGTTGTATCAAGACTGCGTATTTGAAGTGGTGCTCTTAAATAATCTGCAGTGGACTACTTAAATTAAAGCAAGAGCATACTTCAATGCCAAGATTTTAAAAAATGGGCTTAGAATAGGAACCTAACTTTAGGAACCTGGTTCTTAAAACCTTGGCCTAAAGTTATATGGAAGAGATACATGGGTTTCTTTATTCTGAGGTTGTTGTTATAGTTATTTCCTTTCCTGTTCTCCTAAATTGTGGAATTAGATGAGAATTCTTGTGGTGCACAGCCTATATTTTTTCCTTAAAATTTACCAAATGCTTTGCAAATATAAGTTGTGAAGATTTGGTACAGCACCAAATCTGTTCGAGCTAAAATTATAACTGTTAGTGAAACAATATGCAAGTGTCCTTCATTTTAACTCTGGCAGCTAATCATGTATTTCCTTGGTTGTCACCTGGCTGCCTTTTTTAAGCTAAGTGCATGTATAGCAAAAGGGGCCATATTATCTGAATACCTATCTCTAAAGCATTTGAAAACAAATAGCTATCTTTGTTCCGAGCCTCCTGGAGAAAAGACTTAATTAGTTCATTTCTTTATATTTATGCAGATGGTTTGTCATTTGTGAGGAATATATTTAAGAGAGAGCCATGTCAATTAAATAAATTTTGCATTTAGTTTTGAAAATCTTGTGGTCGCTCTTGTGGGTGTGAGCTCTGTAGAGCACATCTTTTTTCTTTCTGTGAAAGACCTACAGTGCTCGCAAGCCTCCTACTTCTGATATATACTTTCACTATTATGGTGGAATGTAGCTGCTATGGGAAGTCATGTACGTGGAGGGAGAGGCAATTTCTCAAGTGTCTAGAGCCATTCCCATGGAGGGCTTTGAGAGTCAGGACAGATGCACTGAATTGTAATTTCTGTTGGCTCTTCGTTGAGTACAGGGAACGAAGCACCAGGGTGATCTGTTCAGAATCATGTAGCTAACCAATCTGGCTGTTGCATTTTGTACTAGCTGGAGTTTTTTCAGTGTATGCCTTCATTCTATTCTATGTAGGAAGGGCAGGAGGATGTCCCTTATTGTTATAAATGCTTCCATGACAGCTACTTTTGAATATACTGAATTAGGAGTGCATTCGTGTAAGCAGGTCAAATTCTGCTTTTTTGTCTAACATGTTTGGTCTGCCCTTCTTTCTCCTAGCTCTCTTTGTTGAGGTATACCAGAGTTCATTGCCACATGTGCTGCCCTGTGTGCATGTCCTCTGGACACACTATTCCCTACTGAGGCACTATTACGGTGGGGCTGTTGTCCTGCATCAAAGTGCACTGGCCAGAAGAGTTAGCTTGGTTCTGGAAGGTAGTGCACACCTTTCTTTCCCAGGGTTCTTTAGAATTCATTCATTCATTCATTTAAATGCAGGTAGTCCATAGCAGAACCCACAACATAACCAGCAAAGAGCTAGTGTCTTCTATGCATGGTACTGGATTCCATCATCGGATCCGTAGTTGGGCTGCTGGCTGTTTTAATCCTGCAAGAGGAGCCTTGATCCACCTTCCGTTTATCAAATTTCTGCTTTTTATTACAGGAGAAACATGAGCAATTAGGCCCTCTCTCGCTGAAACTTCTAATACTTCATTTGTAGTTTTCTTTCACCCTCTTGTTCCTTCAGTTATGTGGCTGGTCTAAACCTTAAATTGTAAGCTCTTTTGCACAAGGGCTGCATCTTCCTGTGTGTTTGTCAGCACCTAGGATGACGAGGTACTGATCCTAATTGTGTTCTTTGAGCACTGTAACAATACAAATACAGAAAAAAACGTAGTTTCTGTTGGAGTGTATAGCATCTGTTGTACTATTCTGCCATCATTCTTTATTTTCACTTGGGAGAAATCTGGGTAATCAATTTAAAAATGCAAGTTTATAACTCTACTCACCTATGCAGCAACTGTTCCAGAGTTAAATATCCATCTCTAAGCATTAGTTGAAAACAATTGTCTGCCTCAAATTGTGATCTCTCTGTAGTTGCACTTCAAGTGGGTCTCTGGGGGGAAAAAATAGAAATTGAAGGGATGGATGGTGGCTGACCCAGAGCAGGGTGATGGGGATGTGTGTGAGATGTAGTGCAGAGGTCAGGCACAGAATGGCTGAGTAGTGCAAGCACTGTGCATTTCTAGTGCAGTAGTGGCCCTGGCCTCAAAGGGGAGAGGGGTGGCATTACGGTCGGGCTGTTGTCCTGCATCAAAGTGCACTGGCCAGAAGAGTTAGCTTGGTTCTGGAAGGTAGTGCATACCTTTCTTTCCCAGGGTGGCAGAGCTGCTGTACTCCTTGGAAGCCCAGGAAGAATTCTTGTTAGCCAGGATGCATTTTAGCTGGGGGCTCCTACTGCATCTGATCTTGGTACAGTCTCTATAGACCACTAACTGAACAGTTGTTAAGTACAGGTTTTAATATGGCATCACGTAATAACATAAGAATGACCATGCTGGGCCACACTAATGGTCCATCTAGCCCAGTGTCCTGTCTTCTGACAGTGGCAAGTGTCAGATGCTTTAGAGGGCATGAACAGAACGGGGCTAATACTGAGTGATCCATTCCCTGTTGTCTGCTTATAGCAATCAGAGGTTTAGGGACACCCGGATCATGGGGTTGTGTTCCTGACCACCTTGGGTGATAGCCATTGATGGACCTGTCTTCCATCTGCTTATCTAATGCTTTTTGAACCCAGGTATAGTTTTAGCTTTCACAACATCTCCTGGCAACAAGTTCCACAGGTTGTCTGTGTGTTGTGTGAAGAAGTATTTCATAGAACCATAGAATATCAGGGTTAGAAGGGACTTCAGGAGGTCATCTAGTCCAATCCCCTGCTCAAAGCAGGACCAGTCCCCAACTAAATAATCCCAGCCAGAGCTTTGTCAAGCCTGACCTTAAAAACCTCTAAGGAAGGAGATTCTACTACCTCCTTACGTGACCCATTCCAGTGCTTCACCACCCTCCTAGTGAAAGGTTTTCCTAATATCCAACCTAAACCTCCCCCACTGCAACTTGAGACCTTGTTCCGTCATCTGCTACCACTGAGAACAGTCTAGATCCATCCTCTTTGGAACCCCCTTTCAGGTAGTTGAAAGCAGCTATCAAATCCCCCTCATTCTTCTCTTCTGCAGACTAAACAATCCCAGTTCCCTCAGCCTCTCCTCATAAGTCATGTGCTCCAGCCCCCTAATCATTTTTGTTGCCCTCTGCTGGACTCTTTCCAATTTTTCCACATCCTTGTTGTGTGGGGCCCTTATGTTTAGTGTAAACCTGCTGCCTGTTAATGTTCGATAGTGCCTCTGGTCATTTAGGAGCTGGCTTTTTAAACCCTTCTTGTCCCTGGGTTAGCCCTGCCCTATAGTCCAGAGATCTCACAAAGGGTTATGGATCAAAGGAAAGCAGGCTGGAATCTCATTAGTAAGATTTCAGCCTACCCAAAACAGACCACGCTGTAATTTTCAAGCAAGCAAGCACACAAACTAACTTACCTCAAGGATCTCATGATCTCTCCTCCTTCACCTGGAGATTTCCCTTGCAAAACTCCTGTTTACTGCTCCTGTTTGCTAGTTCATGCTTTGCACCAGTGGGAAGGAAATACTTGCACCAGTGTAATTGCTACTAAAGATACCATATTGACAGGATTCCTACTCTTCAAAGAGTGTTTTAATGGGTACAGGCAGTTGGTCTTGCTATGATACTGGCCTTTCTGTTCCTCAAGACTGAAGAACTTTGAGGGCTTTGAAAGCTTCTGCCTATTTATGTGCTAAGTAGCTGAGATGTGAGAGCAGGAATCCACCGAAGTAATTCAGGGAGTAGAATTACTGAGAGTAACTATCCCTTATTTTAATAGCTTCAGAAAACAGTACAAGATGTACCTTCTTTAGCCAAACATCTACCTGGTAAAGTGTAAACCAGAGGAATCTATTTCCAAGTGCATGTGTAGTATGGGGAGCAATTATTGCTGCTCATTTTGGGGAGTTATAAATTGGTCTTTGCTGCACACACATCATGGAAATGGGTGTACTATAACTTATTCAAAACGTGTTTGCTCTTTCTTTTTCACAAAAGTCATTTGAATAAACATACACGGTTCAGTCAGTCATATTTTGGACTTTGTTAGCAGTTAGCTCAAAGGTAAAGGCTTTGGGGATCAAAACTGAGGAATAGCCAGGCATTCCCGTGAGCTCAGGATATTTAGTTCCAGTGTAATTTCACTTAAAGCAAAATAGTGCTAATTGGTGGTGGTTGATTTTTTTTCCAGCAACACATTTCACTGTGGGCTACACACTAGGTTCTATTGTTGGAGGGATTTACAGAAACTGTCATGTTAAATTTTTGTATTTGGATTTGCAGAAGCTGACAATGGCCTTGGAACAGAAGCCAGATGATGCAGAATATTACTGTCAAAGAGCTTATGCTCATATTCTTCTACAGAATTACTGGGGTAACATCTCTTAAACTATACTGGGTATCCCTTTAAGACCACATTATGACATTCCTTACAGAAAGATGTCTTAAATCAAGCAAAGCATAGTGATAGTCTTAGACATTTTTAACTTTTAATCAAAGCAGCCCACATTTGCCACTAATATAGCTCTTCTGATATCTGATCACTTCTGGTCTCTCATGGAAGCTTTGCAGTCCTAACTTTCCATTTAATGTGTTGAGTACACTAATGAAAGAATAACCCATTGTTTCAATTTATTGCTTAGTTACTTTGGTTACTGGATTTAGGCTTCAGACATGCCTTAAACTTTCTCCTTATTTTATTAAAAGTGATGTAACACTTTAAATATGTACTGTTTTGAGAAAAGTTTCACTTTCTAAATGGTTCCTTCTGTGTCTGATCCAGTTCTTAAAAAAAAAATAAAAATAAATAAACCTTAAATTTTGAATAGAATTGGCCTTGGAATGCACAGCTTAAACCCAAACAGTCTGACTGACTGAAGGTCACAGTCTGTCGCACTTAGCGGGCAGAGCAGCAGAATGGATAGACTAGCTGTATGCTACTGGGAAATACTGTCAAAAAATTAAAAATTCGGAGCCAAAAAAATTAAAATTCTGCACACAACATTTTAAAATTCTGCAAATTTTATTTGTCAAAATAACCCTATATATAATCACTCCAGTTTCAATTATTTTGGTAAATACCTGTCAGCAAGTATGTCTGTAACAATACAGACACACACACACAATTTTCCCCAGGAGTAGAGAGTTAAAGAAACCCTTATGACAACCAGCAGTTGCTTCTCTACCCCCCCTTTCCCCTCCCCCAAGCCCCACACTCACTTCCCATTTCCCCCCAGAGCCCAGCCATGGGTCCCCCTCCCGACCCAGACACTTACCCCTGACCCCCAGAGGCCAGCTGCGTGGCCCCCTTCTAGCCTGGACCCTCAGACTCTACGCCCTCCACAGCCCAGGGATCCAGAGGGAGAAACAGCTGGTGCCATCGCCTCCTTCCTTCAGGGCATGCTGAGCACTGCAGCTGCCAGGAACCCTCCAGTTTCCTTTCCTTCCCCCTGGCCTTGTCGTCTGTTTGTGAGCTGGGCTCTGCCGGGTCCGGTGGCCCCTAGTGGCGGCCAGTATCTCTGCAGCCCATTTCTGTAGGAAAAAGGAAATTCTGTGTGCCCAACATTAATTTATCAAAATTCTGCATTGCACAGTGGCGCAGAATTCCCCCATGAGTAGCTATAGCAGATTTGAGTGGTGAAAATATTGTAAGATAATTGCTGTACTTCAATAGCATGACTTTCTGCATAAATTAAGTAAACTAATACTTCACACTCTTCATTTAAGATGTAAAAACGGAGCTCAGGAATCTAACTGTAGCATTAACCTCAAACTACTTGTTCACTTAGGCAGCGCTTTTAGTATGTGAATTACTTTGTGTTAAAATTATAAAATTCAGAATGTTAGCTTTGTCTCCTGATTCAAGTCAAATGCAACATTAGGGCAAATTAAGTTACTGTATTTCTGTTTCTAGAACAGAGTAATATACTCTACATTAAAAAAACATGTGACTGCTTATTTGTAGGCTCTGTACCATACTTCTGAAGGTGTGAGATTATGGCTAAATGTTGAGTTGGGACTGAATTGTCACTTTGCTTTTAGATCTTTGGTTTAAGATACGTAACTGGAATAATGCAATTCTTAAGAGACAAATGCAAAACTGACTTTCTACAGATGCTGTTGCAGATGCAAAGAAGTCCCTAGAACTCAATCCCAATAATGCCACAGCTTTTCTCAGAAAAGGGTATGTAACCATTTAAGAAGCCACAAGCAGCAAGTTTCCATTTTCCATTTTTTTGAAATATATTGTATTCTAGCACTACTACAGTTTGCATCAGATTGGGGTCTCAATTGCCCTTTTATAGAAGGTGGACTAAATAAATTAATGTGGTGAGGGTCAATCTCAAGGAGGAGTGGTTGGGGGGGAAGCATTCATAGCTTTAATCATTTGGATCTTTATAAGAGGGCTGTTGGACAATGGCATTTAAAACTTGGTACCACTTTTAATCTAAGATTTTGGTGATTCACTTTGAAATACCTGTAATAGAGCTCTTGTATTAGTAGACAATGTGCCAAATTCCCACGTTTCTACCTTTGCCATGTTATTCTGTTCTTAGCATCCCAGTTAATTGTAACTTATAAATTATAGTTATGGCAAATTTGTAGCTTTTGTTTATTAACAGCAAATTTAATAGATCATGTACTACTTTTCCACCCAGATACGGTGTAAAGTAAAATATTCTATGCTCAGCAGAAGTGTGAATTTGATTGGAAACCTAACTACCGTTCCCTTGTTTTTTTCTGTGTGTATGTCAGGATAAGTGAATACCATATCAAAAACTATGCTTCTGCTCTAGAGTCTTTCAAAGAAGGACAGAAATTGGACAGTAAGTATTGAAACTACACTTCTTTTTGCACACTAATTAGTAAATATTTAAAAGCTTCTATAAGGCTCAGATTAAATTGAACACGATTTTCAGAAGTGACTAGTGATTTAGGTGCCACAACTTTTGGATACCCAGCTAGATCATGTGAAATGGACCTAACTTTTGGGAAGCACAGAGCACCCCCTCACCTGAAAATCAAGCCCTTTTAAGGCATCTAGAATTGGCCAGAAAATATCAGTAGTCACTTCTGAAAATGTAAGCCCATGTGTTTCAGTTCCCTATGGGTTAAATGGGGATATTTCTCTGCTTCAGACATACGTTGCGGATAAATTCAGGTGTTTGAGGTGATCTGGTACTATGGTGATGAGCATCATGGAAAAGCCTACAAATAGACTGAATTCCTCTTATACAATGTTAAGTTGTAAACCAGGGATCGGCAACCTTTGGCCTGCGGCCCGCCAGGGTAAGCACCCTGTCGGGCCGGGCCGGTTTGTTTACCTGCCGCGTCCGCAGGTTCGGCTGATCGCGGCTCCCACTGGCTGCGGTCCGCCGCTCCAGGCCCATGGGGGCGGTGGGAAGCGGCAGCCAGCACTCCCAGTCTCTATTCAAGCCCAAGTTAATGGTATCTAGTTTGCAAATTAATACCAGTTCAGCAGTTTCTCCTTGGAGTCTGTTTTTGAAGCTTTTCTGTTGCAAAATTGCCACCTTTAAGTCTGTTACTGAGTGACCAGAGAGGTTGAAGTGTTCTCCTACTGGTTTTTGAATGTTATGATTCCTGATGTTAGATTTGTGTCCATTTATTCTTTTGCATAGAGACTGGGAGTGGCTGGGTCATTACACAAATTGAATCTATTTCCCCATGTTAAGTATCCTCACACCTTCTTGTCAACTGTCTGAAATGGGCCATCTTGTTTATCACTACAAAAGTTTTTTTTTCTCCTGCTGATAATAGCTCATCTTAATTAATTAGCCTCTTAGAGTTGGTATGGCAACTTCCACCTTTTCATGTTCTCTGTATATGTGTGTGTGTGTGTGTGTGTGTGTGTATGTGTATGTGTATGTATATGTATATATATATATACACACACACACACACACAATCTTCTTACTATATGTTCCATTCTATGCATCTGATGAAGTGGGCTGTAGCCCGCGAAAGCTTATGCTCAAATAAATGTGTTAGTCTCTAAGGTGCCACAAGTACTCCTGTTCTTTTTGCGGATACAGACTAACACGGCTGCTACTCTGACTCCTAGTAGAGAGACATCTTATACCAACAAAACCCAGTTCCCTGAATAAGATAAGCTATGTCTATGCTAGGGCTTTTTGCTGGTATAATTGTCAATTAGAGTTGTGATTTTGTTTTTTTACACTCCTACATGACCTAGCTATGGTGGCAAAACTGTTAAGTGAAGACCAGGCCCAGTAATCCACAACTGCACCCCAAACCCTATTTGCTAATCACCAATGACTTCACCCAGTAACTTGAGGCTTCTAGAAAATTCTTTCCCTATCTTATTGTTACTTAATAGACAACTAGATTCTTGATTTCTCTTCCCTCTTAACTTTCTAATACAACTAGAAACCCCCCAAAAACACATTAAGTTGGGGGTCATCTGTAAACTTTTTTTCACAATTTTGGATTGGCCTCAAATAGACTGTTTCTGTACATGTTCAAGTGGGATGCATGTGGATGAGTATTTGAGGGGATCATTCTAAGAACAGAGGAGAGATGTTTACCATCTTTGGGAACAATTAAATGGAAGTGGTGAAGAAGCCTGAAAGCTGAATACTAGATTTGGGTCAGTTCAAACTTAATTTGACTTGCTAACTGAACTACTAATCAGTTCTAAGTGTATTAAATCTAGCCCAACAAAGCTGGGGAGTTAATTATGTAATTAAACACTAATATCAAACATAGTATAATTGGTTTGAAGGAGTCCTGACACTTAATACTGTATCTAGTATTCTATATTTAAGAATCAAAACAAACCAGTTCCATTGTTGCAAGTTTGCCTTTTATGCATCGTCATGACAAGTAATAGTACCCATGTTTAGAGCAGTAGATTTGAGATACTGAAATGTTGTGTATTCAATCTCTTCTAGATGTGGATACTTCTTTTACTATTTGGATTAAAAGATGCGAAGAAACACTAAACAGTAAGAGTGGCTTCATTTATTTTGCACTTGTTTTGATATTTGCCCTGCTTTTAAACATTTTTTCAAAATCTGGAATCTTTATAGCACTTGCTTTTGTTTACAATAAACTACTAGATGCTCCAATTGTTTCTGTGAGGATCAGTGTCCCAAGACTGTTTTTACTTAAATTTTATAAATGTTTCTTTAGATTTTTGAAGGAAAAAATCCATGCCAGAATCAGTCATGCAAATGGGAAAAGTACCTATTTCAAGTTCAGACTTTGATAACAAAAATCCAGATATTTCAGAAACTTTCATAGTTGTAATGCAAATCTTGTGTTGGTAAATGCTGCCAATGAACATAATCTTAAATAAATCCAATTTATATTAGGAGCCACTCAGTTTTGACTCCATATGCTGCCCTTGTGTAGAAGTACGTGGAGACCAACTTAATGTAAGAGCTCTGTAGTGATGTTGGAGCATGTCTTTCACTCTGTACCCCAGAATAGAAGCTTGCAAGATTGATAGGTGCGAGGCTGGAAAAAACCAATGGAGAGTTAGAGATTTGGGCCTCCAGTTCTCTGAAGTCTGTTTCCTTCATCAAAAGAACCATTCTCATCTATCTAGTTGTGACACCATGATAAAGCAGCAATAGCCATGCTCCTACTAGTTGCTGGCACCAGCTGTGATCTGGAGTAGTAATGTAGTGTTCAATGAGAGAGCACTGTCTGAAGCAGTGGTCGCCTTTGTACTAATTCTTCGTGTGGGTTGGCCAGTCTGACAGAGAGCATGCAACTTAGTGCAGCTTTTCCCACACTTTGGCACAACCTACTTTTCCTAAGTTGCCTAGGGGCTTCATAGATGTGTCGGCTGTGGATACAAAGGAGTAGCTCATAAGGCTACTTTCTCCTCCACTGTGACTTTATCTGCAGACTTATTCCCTTCACAGTGTGTACTGGGAAAGAAAGATCAGTGGGGGCAGTATGAGTTGATATTAATTTAACAAACGGCAGAGGAACATAACTTTTTTTTGTCAGTCTGGTACTTATCCTTTATATCTAGGGCCCTACCAAATTCACAGTACATTTTGGTCATTTTCATGGTCATAGGATTTTAAAAATCGTAAATTTCATGATTTCAGCTATTTAAATCTGAAATTTCACGGTGTTGTAATTGTAGGGGTCCTGATCCGAAAAGGAGTTGTGGGGTGGTCGCAAGGTTATTTTAGGTGGGAATGTGGTACTGCTACTCTTACTTCTGCACTGTTGCTGGCGCTGCCTTCAGAGCTGGGCAGCTGCTGGCTGGGAGCCCAGCTCTGAAGGCAGAGCCGCCGCCAGCAGCAGGGCAGAAGGAGGGCATGGTATGGTATGGTATTGCCATCCTTACTTCTGCGCTGCTGCTGGTGGGGCGGTGCCTTCAAAGCTGGGCACATGGCCAATAGCTGCTGTTCTCTGGCCGCCCAGCTCTGAAGTCAGCGCAGAAGTAAAGGTAGCAATATTGCAATTTCCCTAAAATAACCCTGTGGATCCCCTCCTGCAACTCGTTTTGGGTCAGGACCCCCAATTTGAGAAATGCTGGTCTCCTCCTTGAAATCCCTATAGCATAGGGTAAAAGCACACAAAAGACCAGATTTCATGGGGGGGGGATGGACCAGATTTCATGGTTTGTGATGCGTTTTTCATAAGCATGAATTTGGTAGGGCCCTATTTATATCATATAAAGATGGCCTCAAGATTTTTTTTCCAGTGGCTTCTCTTTTGCTGAAGAAATAACAAGAATATCAAGTCTTGGCTGTCTTGATTTTGCTGGAGGAACACTTTGAAGGACTATGGTTGGAGTGTTTTTTCCATTTCCGAAGGGGAGAGGATGTCATGTCATATGCCACACCAAGCTTTTCTTCCAAGTGTTGAGCTTGTTCTTGTCCCTGTTTACTCAATTAGCCTAAACACCTTCCTCCCCCTCAGCTGTTCATGTTTTAGTCATCTTGTGATGTCATTTTACTGATTCTCCAGAGGATTTTCTAGCAAAAATAGAATTCAGAACATGGTATTATTAATGTTAGTAAAGCAGAGTTTTTTAAAAAAAATATTTGAAGCACCCTCGTGCATTATAAAGAAGCAAAAAGCAGTGTTTTTTTTTTGTTTTTTTTTTTTTTTCTTTTTTCTTTTTTAAAGTGGGCCCAACCTTAAATTTCTCTAAATTAAAATTTTTTGCTTTTTTTTTTTTTAAAGATTTCTATGGAAAAAATTCTCATAGTATGGTATTGCACAGTTAAGGTTGCCCAAATAACCTTAACTCTTCTTTAGTTAAATGTCATCACTCTCTTCTGTGAAACTAGAGTCCTTATCAGAATTATCTTACAAACTTGAGCATGAATGTCCAGTGTATGGATAACAAGGTACAAACTACTGTAGAAGATCTTAAACCAAAGCTTTAGGTGCTGATTTGTCAAAGCCTTCATATCATAACAGAAGTCTGTTACATCTTCATTTGTTAGGAACTATTGATCAGAAGGTGCGATCATTCTGTTAATCAGAACATACTTTTGTGTTGCAGTTGTCCTTTCGCATGACTTTTGAAATTAAATCCCTAGATACAAATAGTGTTATGATACAAATACAGAATCTCTCTGAATAGTTGAAGAAAGTTGAAAGAAGCAAATCTGCCTTGTACATTAAACATGTTGCTCGTCTGAAAAATGCAACTTGTTTTTGTCCCTACAGCAGGATCACAGACTGAAATGGTAAGGCTTTTTTTTTAACATACTTGCTCCTTACTCTTAATTGTGGCACTAAACAAGAGAATGCTTTGAGACTTTACTTAGTTGCTTCATATTAACAGGCTCTAAAACTAACTTAAATCTTCCTACTACATAGCATTTTTTGTGGGGGGTTAACTTTAGACTAAAGTCCTGCTCTTTGTTGATGTCAGGCTTATGGAGACTCTTACAAAGGATTAAACAAGTACACAGTTCTAGCAGTTATATCAACGTGCATAAGTTTTATAATAAAGCAAATCTATTTTTTCCTTTGCACAATTGATGATTAATCTTGCAAAATTAATCAATTCCACTTATGCATTCTAATTGCTTTTAATTGTAATTTATTAAGTGCCTTAAAAGTGCTTTAACTGTTACTTAAGCAGATTTTTATTCTGTTGACGCTCTAGTTCATTTTTCAGTTGCCTGTTTCTACTATGTGCCATGGTAAAACTTTTGAACTTGTGTCTCTAGAAATAGTATCAAAGTCTGAGATGGCGCTGGAAACTTATTTTGGTCCTTGAGACTGTTGCTCTCAAACTACCCCCAACTTATGCATATTGAAAATAGGTACTATGTGGAAAGTCTGACAGGAGTAGTGTTATACACAAGGACAATGGCCTTGTGGTTCAAAGCAAAAGATTGGAAGTCAAGAACTCTGGGTTACATTCCCAGCTCTACTGTAGATTTCCTTTGTGATTTAGCCATTTAACCATTGTGTCTTTTGTTAGCTGCAAAATGGGTGTAATACTTGCTGCCTGAGAAGGTGGCTGAATTGAGAATTTGAATGACTATTTATAAAGCACTTAGATTTCAGAACATTCCAGTCACTTGTGACTTCAGAGCGTTACAGTTGTTTATTTTTCTCCCATCTAAAGATTTCAAGCTCTTTTGTGCTGGTCCTACATAAATGGTTATGGGACTAATCAGGAGATTTGTTTTCAAAATGTTTGTTTAACTTAGTTAATGCACTGTGCATCAAGAGGAGAAAAAGGCAATTTAGTTAATGTACAATGTGTGTATATATTGCGTTATGAAGGTTTCTTTGAAAAGTACATCATGATACAGTGAACTATACTAATTTAACTTTTAAATGTCTTTCAAATGTCATGTGCTGCAATCAGACTACAGAACAGCAAACTCAGCCATCAAAAATCAAGTAAGTCTTTTTTAGCTTTATTACACTTTACATAATTTAACAATCATTTTATATAGCATATGTATTTGTAGCAAGCTGTTATTCCAAATTGTAAATTTAGTCTGTTCTATAATGCACAAGTTAAAACTAAATTCTGTACACTGGATCAGATATGTTTGCTGATTGTGTTTATGGTTTGGATTTGTGTAAATACCGAATCTTCTCTGAAGCGGTAAGGAGCCATAATGTATCATAAACTTCAAACTGTTTAACCTGGTGGTATAAAAGATATATTATTAGTTTATTTAGATATGCTTAGTGTGCATGTCCACTGAGTATAAGCTTCAGAATCTTCAGAAGCCCAGATGCAATGACTTTGTTTAGTATGTCAACACTAAACTCCCCAACTCGTCCTCTCAGAAAATGTATTGGTAGATCGGCTTTTCAGTATGTCCTAAAAAGTCCATGTACACAGGCTATTGTCAGGCCAAGAACTCTCCACTGAAGATGCTCAGCTCACAGAACATATCTAGGGATTTGGGATTAGGTATCCCAACTGATGTTCAACTGGGGCAAAATATACTGCCTCTGAGTTGTATCTACCTTAGGTATTGCTTAGGCATCAGAGCAGAGAGATTCCTATATATGATTCATACAGTATAAATTGATGAAAAAGTGAACTCTGTAGTAATAGTTGACAGATACTTGTTCCCTAATATTAAGTATAGGGTGAAACTGGTAAGCTTAGCTACCACTGTGGTAATTGATGACTGACTGCTACATTTTGCTTGTAATAAAATGGCTTTGGGTCATTCTCTTTGCATTTTAAGGTTTAAGCCAGACCTCATGACCATAGGCTATGGGTATCATAGGCTGGGGAGAGGCTGTGCCTCCCCAAACAGCTTGACATGGCCCTACCCCCAGGCCGCCTCCTGCAGTTTCCGGCACTCTTCCATGGCCCAGGCTGGCTCTGTCTGGGGCTGGGGAGAGCCGGCCTGTTGCCGACTCGGGGCAGCACCGCCTGGGACTGGGGGCGCTGGCAGGGGCGGCTCCAGGCACCAGCGCAGCAAGCGCGTGCCTGGGGCGGGAAGCGGCCTGCTGGTCGCTGTGAGGGCGGCAGGCATGCTGCCGAATCCGCGTGACCAGTGGGCTGCCCGCAGGCGCGCCGCCGAAAGCCGTCTGACTGCCGTGCTTGGGGCGGCAAAAAACATAGAGCCGCCCCTGGGACAGTGCTGCCTGGCACTCCGGGGTTGGGGGCCGTGATGGGGGTGCTCTGGGCTCCTGCAGGGGAGGGGCTGGGGGCTAGCCTCCCACAGCGGCCTGTTCACCAGCTGCCCATGCTCATGACTTACTGTCTCAAAAATGACTTCAGTTCTGAAGAGGCTAAATAGGAAGTTTAATGGTGAAAAAACACAGAGCACTAGAAGTCTAAGAACTGCAGTCTTAGAGGGATGCTGTCCATTTGTCTAAGCCCCCAAAATTTTACCTTAGGGTACATCTACACTACAGGGGGGAGTCGATTTAAGATACGCAAATTCAGCTACGTGAATAGCGTAGCTGAATTCGACGTATCACAGCCGACTTACCCCGTTGTGAGGACGGCGGCAAAATCGACTTCTGCGGCTTTTTGTCAGCGGTGCTTACTACCACCTCCGCTGGTGGAGTTAGAGCGCCGATTCGGGGATCGATTGTCCCTGAGAGGTCGATTTCTACCCGCCGATTCAGGCGGGTAGTGTAGACCAGACCTTAATTTGCCCTCTTCTGGAATAAGTTCTGTGCAGCCAGTTCCACTCAGTCCTCTGTCCCTTTTGTTTTACCTTCCACCACTCAAGCCACCCAGCCTGCTCTCTTGCTACATAACTGTTCTTCCTCTAAATGCTTCAAGGGATTCAGAAGGTGGCAGCAGATCTTTTAAGAAGCACTTTGCTTCAAACAATTTACTTGAAATTCAGGCTCAATTAACCCTTCAAAGGAATAAGTGTTATCTAGCATCTAGAGCAGGGAATGCACTCTAGATCTTCTGCCTTCTGTTGCTATTTCTAGATCAAAGTTAGGATCAGAAGACTTGCCTATATGTGGGTTAATATATCATGTTCATAAGGTGCTTTTAGATCCTTGAATGAAAAACACAACAGGAAGTGCAAAATAGTATTGTGATACTTGGCAATAAGTAGATTTTTGAAGACTTAATTGTGTAAATTAGTTATTTAGATTTTTGCTTCTTGGTAGAGCAGTTGTAAATTTTTTCTGTTCCACTAACAGTTCTTGTTTGCTCAAGTGCATTGATCTAACTGTTGGGAAAGAAGGGGAAAACTACTCATAACTTCATTCTGCTTGCTTAACCTCAGCCTTTTGTGCTATGTAAATTCAAAACAATTATCACAAAACCCTATAATGTTACTGTGCTCTACAATACTTGAGTTTTCTCTCACTGTGGTTCACTTACATGTTTTTGAACCCTGTGCAAGAAAACTTAGTTTTGATGTCCTTCTCTTTTTAAAGGTATGACTGGTACCAAACAGAATCTCAAGTAATCGTAACTCTCATGATCAAGAACGCACAGAAGGATGAGATCCGTGTACAATTTTCTGAGAAAGAGGTGATTACATTATTAGTTCACTAAAAAATAACTTTTTAGTTGATATGCATCTCTATCTTTCAGGACATCTATTTGCTGATACAGACATTCTGTATCGCATCATTCAGTCCATTCAGTTGCCATGAAAAAGGCAGAATAAAGTACAACTTTCTACAAGAATGTTAAGGGAGAACGTGGTATAAAGAGCATATTGGTGTTTTACTTCCCATGCTTTTGGTATCCTCAGATCTATCCTGACAATCATGACATGAGGTAACCAGTTTAAATGAAGCATTGCAATCTCGCATAATTATATTTGTGTTTAGTATATTACTGGCACCATATTAATCTTGGTTTCTCTTATTCTGACAGTAGACATGGGTTTGTGTTGCTTAACTGTTAATTCTTGGTGAACAAAACCATACATATTCAGTTAGTATCTGCTTTAAATAGTCAAGATTACATGCACACATCTTGCTTCATAAGTAAATGTTTGAAGTAGGTGGGAAGAGGAAAGCTGCATAATCTTTCTGTGTTCCATTGTTAATGTTTTGCTATCTTCTTATTGTCATGCAACACTTTCCTAAAGAATGCAGATCAAACTGATGAGATAACAGGCTTTTTGAGTAGCTAGTTGGTGGCTAGGAACAACAATCTCCTATTTATTTTTTAGTGCACTTTGAAATCACTGTTGAATAATGCAGTAAGAAGTAGTGCAGTTTGAAATTCCTGTCTTGTGCTTGACATTTCATTAAAACATTCCAAGTGAAGGGTCATTAATTTAATCACTAAAAGTTGTCAGTGGAGGATTAAAATTAATGCTAGGATGGAAAATTGCAGCTAGTGTACTCTGTGGTCATCACAAAGATATGTTTATCTGTTAACAGCTGAATGCATTGGTGAGACTTCCATCAGGAGAAGACTACAACTTAAAGCTTGTTCTTCTGCATTCCATAGTACCAGAGCAAAGTACATTTAAAGTGCTCTCAACAAAGGTAAGCTTTTAAAGTGTAAATTATTTCTTTGAATATTTCTGATGTTGAAAACATTTCTGCTCTTTTGTCTTGTGTTCCTATGACAGTCATAATGACTAGCTTTTTTCATACAGAATTGTTTTTTTCAAGGTGCCCTTCAGGCAACAGAAGACTTTAAACAGACATGTAAATATCAGAAGCTAGCAAAATCTAAGATAGCTTTTACTGAAGTGCAAATGACTTCATTTATAAAGTGTGGATGTTTTTACCTGCCACTAGAAAAAGACTGCTGTGGTGCTCATCTCTTTATACATTCATAATCTCCAAATTATAAACTTCTTATACAACCTTTCCTAAACTTTTAGGAGTTAAAGGTTGCTTGTCATTCAAGGCAACTTTATGTAGATATAGCAAACAAGTTGTCAGACTTGACTTAAAACCTAAGTGTCGCAGTAATTTAGGCATTCTTAATATAGCCTTTCTTCAGATGACTGCTTGCAAAAAATTGCCATGCAGTTAACTCTTGGATGCTTTTCACGAATCCATGCTATACTTGAAACAGTGTTTATCTCTGGAGATATTTAAGAGTAGGTTAGATAAATGTCTATCAGGGATAGTATTTGGTCCTGCCATGAGGGCAGGGGACTGGACTCGATGACCTCTCATGGTCCCTTCCAGCCCTAGAATCTGTGAATTTAAGCACTTGAAGGCAGCATGATTTTTCAGCATCTTTGATAAATCTCAGTATAAGAGACAAGGAGGTAGTCTATGCAGTATTGGGTATAACTGAGGCCCTTGATTTCCTGGGAATTTATCAGTGTTTATTATCAATTTTTGTAATAAACACTGATAAATTCCCAGGAAATGAAGGGCCTTCTCAGCTCCGTAGACAAGCTGGAGTTGGAGCGGGGAGGAGAGGTTCTGTCTGGCAGGGGAAGCGGATGGGGTGTCCCTGACCCAGCGCACTGGATGGGATGGAAGAGGTTGCTTGGTACTCATGGGAGGGTTGGAGGGGGGAGAGGAGGTACTGTGGACGGGAGAGGAGGAAGGGGTGTCCAGTATTCTCAATGGGCAGAGGAGATGGGGTGCCTAGTACTCTTGGGGGAGGCAGCAGGTGAGGGGAGGAGGTGCCTCACACTCATGGCAGGCAGGGGAAAGCAAATGGGGCTCTGTGCCCTGGGGCCATGCTGAAGGGCAGGGGAAGCAATTGTGGGGCCAGTACTCACTGGGTGCAGCCTTGTGCTCTGCTCCTTGCAGTCCTGTTGCTATCAGGACCAGACTCCCTACCTGTCTCGCTCCCACCACTGGCCAGCAGCAACAGCCACCGACCAGCAGTTACCCTCTTCGTTCCCCCTCTGTTCAGGTACGCTGAACCATCCTGCAGGGACTCTTGAGTGTGTGTGGGAGGCAGGTCTGTGGAGATCTGGGACATGAAACATTTGGGTTTAAACTGATAAAAACCCAAATACTTGCTTTTGAAAAAATGTTTTCAAGAATTTTTTTGAAGGTTTTCAGCGATCAAAAATCGGGTGGTCAATATGACTGTCAGTAACTTGCCCCTTTTCGTTAATATAAGCAGAGATTTACTTATAGGGCTAAGCCTGAACCTTTACCTTAATACAAGCAGAGATTTATCTATGGATATGTCTCTGCTGCAGTTGGACACTAGCAGCTGGCCTGTACCAGCTGGCTTGGGCTAAGGGGCTGTTTAATTGTGGTGTAACTGTTCAGGCTCAGGTTGGAGTCCAGGCTCTTGGACCCTTCCACCTCACAGGATCCTGAGCCCAGGCTGCAGCCTGTGCTTCAGCATCTCTTCTGTAATTAAACAGCCCGAGCCCTGCAAGCCCAAGTTAGCTGACATGGGCCAGCCATGGGTTTTTAATTGCCATGTAGACATGCCCTGTAGATCCAAAGCCTGACGGGCCTTATGTAGGAAAGAGGGGTGTGTTGGCCTTTTATTTCTACTTACACTGGTTCCACAGTGTTCGGAGCAATCCTGTGGGTGGCCAAGCTGTTGTGAAAGGGTGCATGGAGGAACTAAGCAGTACTCTGCAGTAGAGCTGTTTTGGCATGGGAGATGAGAGAAGGGGAGCACCAGGATAAACTTGAAGCTCTAGGGCTGTGATAATACCCATGTCGGGGGGCAGGTAGGCCCAAGGTGAGGAGTGAGAGGGAGACCCCCTTGTCCTTTCTGACCTTACTGTTAGTATTATACTCATTGTATCATGTCTGGAGTTATATGGTAAGCTCTTTGAGGCAGGAACTGTGTCACTGTATCTGTTCTGCAAAGCACCTCACATGCTCTTGAGCACTCTAAAATAACAAAATAACTTTTTAAAAGGTAAAGTGGGCATCTACAGCCCCATATGGAGGCATTTCATCTGAATCGGCTGGTTTGGAGCTGAGCAATCCATAATCTCTTTTTGGTTGACTTCAAAGCCATTCTAGGTTTTGGTTTAGGTATCGTACATTTCCTTTTCGTCTCCACTTGAATACGCTGAGACTGTGCAACCTTGATTTTTATCAGCTGTGCAGAATAAGAATTTCTGCCATAATGCGATCTTCTGGTAGTTAGTTGCTCAAGTCTTTCATTGTGGAGATAATAGTTGAAGTGTGCCCTCTTGAAGTGTGAAGAAACACTAAGTTAAGTTGAAGTTTGTGATAACTAAAATCATTGCTATAAGTTTTGACCAGCTGGTGGAACCTAACTGGAATGAAGTTATGAGTGGTCTTAACACAGTAGGGTAGCTTAGTCTCAAATGTAGTTGCTTTAATAATAATAAAAAAACTATTACAAAATCTTTCAAAAACTAAGGTGGAGTGTTTTACTTTGTCTCCTAAAATATTAGATGTTTTTAGGGAGAGGGGTGTGTTTTGAGTTTTTTGTTGAAACACCTCAATTTCTGATACCTCAGTTTGTTTCAGCACTGCTTTAACACTGACTCCTGCTGATAACCACTCACACTAACAATATGAAGCACAGACTGCTGCTCCCACTGTTACTTTACATGCTGACTCAGCAAGTCAACCACCACTTAGATTGAAGTGTTCATACCTGCTACAGGCCAGAGTCTACAACATCTTGCATCTTATCCTTCTTGTGAAGTCCAGAAATCACAACCACCTCCAGTCTGGGCTGGAGAGCCCAATCTACCTTATCCCATCCTTTATGGGCTGATTGCATCGATTTCCCTGATTAGATATGAGTCCAGAGATCCATCCTCACCCTGTGCTGTTAACACAGGTTGGCCTGCAGACCCTAAAGTAGTAACTCATGAGAGGAAACTATGGCATATGCAAGGCCCTATATACTTAATGGCAAGCTTTAATTTTGTAGTTTCTGCAGTGCTCTATGCAGCAAACTGGAGATTCTGCGGCAATTTCATATATGCTAAGAAATGAGGCTTTGTATTCATTCTCATTGAATTCAATACATCATTGTAGCATATTCTGTCAAAATGAATATAATATGAAATCTTTCTATGCCCCTAAATTTTTAACTTTGAGACTGATTCAGAATCTTCTAGGAATATGCATAACTCTGTCAAAAGTTGTACGGGGGGGGGGGGGGCGTGAATGAAGAAGCTAGAGGTTGTGGCAGTTAAAGGACATTTGGGGCATTTTGAGATTAGGGATGGTGTCAGATGAGAGTTTGAAATTTTGGGATAAGTAAATGAACTGGATGTTAATATGATCAACAGTGAAATAGTCAACATTGGTATTGTTGGAATTCATATATTTAAGAGGGCAGAATTAATTTTTATTTGTCATTTTTAAGTAGGGGGAAAAAATCTGAAGTTGGGTATGAAGTTTGTAGTTCTGTGAATATTGTCTAGACCAGGGGTCGGCAACCTATGGCACGCGTGCCAAAGACAGCACGCGAGCCGATTTTTAATTGCACGCTGCTGCCTGTCGGGGTCCTGGCAGGTAGCAGCATGCCATTAAAAATTCTGCCCGGCCTGCTCTTCTCCACCCTCCGCCCCCTTCTGTGGGGGCAAGGGGCAGAAGCTTGGTCCTGCCGGCTCCCCTGCGTCTTCCCACAGTGTGCTGTGTTCCTGCCCCCCCCTCCTCCTCCTCCTCTGTCCCTCCCTCCCTGCCAGCCGATCAGCTGATGGCCCTTGCGAGGGAGGAGCGGAGTCAGCGTGCTCGCTGCTCCCCGCTGAGGCAGAGAAGAAGCGGGGGCAGGGCCTTGGGGAAGGCGGGGGGTGGAAGCAGGCCATATCCCCTCCAGCCCCCTGCCGTGAGCACCCCAGGCCCCTGCCCTGAGCCCTGTACCCCCTCACACACACCCGGCCCTCTGCTTGACTCCTTCACCCCCCCATGACCCCAGCCCTGACTGGCACCCCCACACATACCAAGGCCCCTGACACCTGCACCCCCTCACATGCCCGCCCAGCCCTCTGCCCTGAAACCTGCACCCCCTCACATGCCCCCAGCCCCCCCACACCCCATGCACCCCCCACAATCCTGACTCTTGCACCCCCCACATCCACATCCCCACCCCCAGCACCAAACGGAAGCACCTGCACACACACACCGCACATTCCCTCCTGCACCCCTTGCACCAAATGGGAGCTGCCCAGGTAAGCGCTCCACACCCAAACCACCTGCCCCAACCCTGAGCCCCCTCCCCCATTCTAGCTCCCGGCCAGACCCTACACCCCAATCCCAAGCCTGCTCCTTCACCTCCAGCCCTGTGCTCAGTGCAGAGAAAGGAAGAGAATGGGCCAGAATCAGGGAGAAGGTAGGTACCCACTCTATGTGGGCAGGGCTGGGACCCCAGACTCGCAGCAGGCTGAGCGAAGTCCGGCAGCCGGGTTTCCGGCTGACAGGAGCCGGCGGATGGAACCCCGGAGCGGCAGCGGGCTGAGCCGCTCAGCCCACTGCCGGTCTGGGGTACCGGCCGCTGGCCCCGCACAGCCCACTGCCAGTCTGGGGTTCTGGCTGCCGGCCCCTTGCCAGCCGGGGTCCCGGCCGCAGGCCCCGCTAAGCCCGCTGCCAGCCTAGGTGAATGGAACCCC